CCTAAATTATATTTTGATTTGATAAATTGAAATGGAGGATAGTTAACTTATATTGTAAATCTCTATTGTTAATGTGAGTTGGGTGAAGGTGTTAATGCCTAAGGGGTTAACTTTGGCTTTAGAATGGTTTTGAAAGGAATGTAGTGGACTAATGTGAGTTATGACTTTATTATCAATGGAATTGGTTTTGTAAAACAAAAGGAATGGATTTGGTTTTGTGACAACAAAGGGGACGGAGTTGGTTTTGTGAAAACAAAAGTGAAATGGAACTTGTTTTGTGAAATGGGAAAAGTATTTTTGAAATACGTATGAAAATTGGATTGTTGTTTCTTGAGTGTTGAACACACACATGTGTGGGATTGTATCTTTAACTACCATGTTAATGTTGTTGTTCGGTTTGTGGTCTCATAGTAATTGAGTCTTAAATAGATGTACTAAATATTTGCATCTAGAGGTTTTGTCCTTGGTCATCGGTGGAGGATGACACGATTGTGTTGAATTGTCGTGTATGCATTATACCATTATTGATTGAACATCATATGTGATGAAGTGTTGAGATACATTATATATGTATACTTGCTCGGGAGGAGGTAGTTATGTGTTCATATACTTTAACACATTGCTTGTATCTTGATGGTTTATGTATATGTGTTATACATGTTGGTTATGCCCTATTGTGTTTGGTTGGTGGTGTTATACCTTGCGCTAAAAATCAGAGGTACCGTGACCTTCCAGCTAGCGCCTGGAGAACTGACTGCGCTGAGAATATAAGTCACCATACCCTTCCAGCTAGCGCATGGTAAACTGGCATGTTGTTGTGAGAGGTGTATTTTTGGCTTACTACGCACATAGCTAGTAGAGCAAAGTTTTGTTGTTGATGTTTTAGTGTGTCTGGGAATATCATGGATTGTGTTGATTACGGTTTTGGAGGGCCGAGTTGCCTCATTGGTTTATCTTATGCATGTTGGTGAGTTGTTATCTCCCTTTTTATAACGGTGCATGTATAGATTTGATTGTATCGGGAAGAAGCCAAAATGTCATTTTTGTCTTTTGGAAAGTGTGAAGGAGAACGGATATTTTAAAGAATTATATATTTTGAAAAGGCACATATGTGTATGTTTGGAAAAAAAAAGGGAAGAGAGTAGTGGGCTTAGTGAATTTATTTCCTAAGGAATTGTTAATGTTATGAAAGATTGGGAACGGGGGTTAATAAAAGGAAAAAGGAAAGAAGAATCGCCTATGGCGTTGATTGAAATGGTTGTTTTCAAGAAAAGTTCATACTTATGTATATTTTGTATAAACAGTCACATTACTATTCTAGTGTGAGATTGAGCATTCATGAACATAGCTATCTATAAGTTGTTATTGTTGAGGGCCATGTTGAGATCCCTACTGGACTATATGTTCACCCCACGTTGTTGAATCTTTTTCAGGTGTTGAGCTGAATGTGCTGCAAGATTTGGATCTTCTTATTTGTTGGCCACGGGGCCTCTCTTGTATTGGCAGAATGCCATATGTGTAAAAGGGTTGTACCCTTCTTCTTGATTTGTTAATGATGTAAGCCCAAGGGCAATTTATTTATTATACTCATGTTGTATTTATTTGCATACGAATGAGAGCAATGTTATTCACTTCTACGAGTTGAATATACGAGTTTATTTCCGCATGTTATCTCTGAAATGGAATGAAATTGGTAATACTTCGAGTAATAAAAAGCAGGGCGTGACAACTTGGTATCAGAGCGAGCCGGGTTTGAATACTTTGGGCTCATGGGAAGTGGTTTTTACCACAGTGGGTTTACTACGTATAGTGAGGACGTTGCATATAGATATCATGAAAATTAGGACTTATGTGTTGCATTTATGTGAGCATGGGATTCAGTCTCTCGGATAGTATTCATAGCCGGTGAACTTGCTTTGAGGTCCTTTTGGAAACACGCCTGATCAACGTGGTTTCTGATAAGAATTCCTTGAGAGTTCCGGGATGAGTGGCTATCTTTGTGGACTTGATTCGATTATGTGTTTACATGTTTAGATGTTTATATGCAATAGAGGTGTATATTTTGTGACTAAATGAGTCTTGTGACTTAATAGTAGTGGTGTGTGCCTCGGAGAAGGCTATTGTGTTGTGCACTAAGCGTGGTATTTGCTTTTGTGCTTTATAGGATGTCTACATGAGGAAGTAGAGGACGGTTGAGTAGTAGGAGTATCGGTAGGGGCACAACAGTTGCTTTAGCACCCGTCGTTGCAGCATCGGCTGTCGGCGAGGATGTCGCACGTGAGATTGTGAGAGCAGTGCAAGATGCCCTAGCTCGCACTGAGGGCGGCAGCGGGCATGCTCTCAAGCTTACTAAAGAGTTTTTCCGCTCCGGCCCACTAGAGCTTGTGGGGGAGGCTAAACCATTGGAGACAGAAAGTTGGTTGGAGCAGATTACCAAGACTCTTGATATGCTCAGAGTCGAAGAGGAGGAGTTGAGGGTTTCTTTGGTGACTTTTAAATTGAAGGGCGATGCGAGTTATTGGTGGAAGTATGCTAAGAATACCGTAGATAGCACATGGGTTGCTTTTACCGAGGCTTTTTGGGCCAAGTATTTCCCTCCTTCTGCTCGAGAAAGGTTGAGGGATCAGTTTTTGGAGTTGCGTCAGGATGATACTCCTGTGGCACAGTTTGAGGTGCGGTTTACTAGTTTGTCGAGGTTTGCTCCAGAGTTGGTGGCAACAGAGGAGCGT